CCAAATGTCAGATGATTCAGAAACTGGTAGATTACCAACCCACTCCTAGATGATAGAGAGGAAGAAGTGACACTTCCAGGGACATTCATTTTCATTCACTCATTTACTGAGGCTTAGCAGTAAAATTAAAAAGGGTCGGTCTCCTGATATCAGGGAACTCACAGTACATGAAATTGAAATACAGGTTGTGATGGAACAATTCACAGGATGTTGTTGCTATGAGATAAATAAGGAGACTGCCTAAGGCATCAAGATGTACGCAGAGGTAGGCAAAGAGGGTCAGGAATGGCTTCCTAGGAAAGGCTACATTTCAACTGAGGATAAAGAAGAATTAGCCAGGAAGGTGGTGGGGAGGAAGAGGAAGAGTGATCCAGGAAGAAGGACTTGCATTGCGCAAAGGCATATTTGGAGGCTGAGGAGAATCTCTCCAAGGCTGGCACGTTGTGTGCATGTGGAGTGACAGGGACAAGCCTGGAGAGTAGGCAGAGTGCTGCAGCACCTTGTACCCAAAGCTAAGGCCCATGGCTCCAGAGCTGAAGGTTATGGAAAGAAATACTGCAGTTCTGGAATATAGGCCATGAGGAGTAGGTTACCATTTGGGGAGGACCCCTCTGGCTTGAGGGAGGAAGACAAGGGCAAGAGGATGAGGTGGGGCTATGGGTGACCAGGGAAGAAATGAGAGTACATTCGGGTGGTAGCCCTGGGCATGAAGAAGGGTAGGATTTCACAGTGACATTAAAATAGGACTTGGTTCATTGTGTGGGAGTGAGCGGAAGAAGGTCTGCATGACTCCCAGTTGCTGGCTTAGGCAACTGGGTTGATCAACAGAGAATGCAGAGAAGTATTAAGTGACAATGAGTTGGGTTTTGGATATGCTGTGTGCAAAATGCCTACGGCCAACCAGACAGAGATGTCTCAGGGATAGCTGGGAGATCCCATTCCCAGAAATGTGAGCTGGAGAGAGTTCTGAGTTGTTTGCAGAGGTGAGGGCTGAGAACTGGCTGTGGATGGCAGATTCCCAAAGAGAGGGAAGTCCGACAAAGAAAGGACAAACCTAGAATGGTGGGGAATACCATGGTGGTAGGGAGCAAGGAAAAAGAGTCCAAAAGGAAGACACCAGCATTAAAGAAAAATAGAGCTTAAAGAAGGGCGTGATCAAAGACCAAGCCAGATGAATGCTAAAAAATCTACTGGGTGTGGCCATCAGGACCTCACTGGCAACCTCATGGAGAGCAGATGAGCAGTGGGGGTGGAGCAAAGGAGAAGAAAATATGGGTGTAGGCCCCTGGTTCAGAGAGCTGGACTGTGGAGGGAAGGGAAGAGTAGGACAACTATCTAGGAGTTGTTGATGTCTTAAGATAGGGAGACAGGGCTTGATCAGGTTTAGAAAGAGCACCAGTGGTGAAGGAGACAAGAAAGTTATGAGATGGGGTAGCTGAAAGAGCAAGATCAGTGGCAGAGATAGCCCGGAACCCAGGGCTCCTGATTCTCGGGCTAGTGCTCGATTCTATCCCATGGTGGATTCCTTTTCCAAGTGAGGAGCCAAGGAGGGGCCGAAAGTTGTGGAAAGCTGAGAAGCCCCAGCTTGCGAGGTTCGAGGTTTGGAATAAGGACTTCCCTTCAAACTACAACCGCATAGATGGTGGAGGCATCAGCAGGGACCACTGGGGTTAACCGGAGGGGCCTTCTGAGGGCCAGATGATCCAGGTCTGCATAGAGCAGGCTCTGAAAGGTGGGCAGGAAAGCAGAAGGGTCTCAGAGATCTGACTCCCTGGGGGACACAGGCTTTTCCTCGGGGGTTCTGGCCAGCCCTCTTCCAATCCCCAGGCCCTTACCGGCTCCTGGTCCAGGTCCCCTGTGATCTTAGGCTCTTCCTCCTTTGCTGGCCTCTGGGTCTCGACTTTCACCAGTGGATCTATATGGGGGGGACAGAGCTGAAGAATTGAGAGAAAGTGACCAACTTGTCTGCTCCCAGGAAGGGCTCAGACTCAGGAGTTGAGAGATGGGAAGTGTGGGAGCAGTAGAAGGAAAATGAGGTGGAATTAGTCTCACCAAATCTGGGCAGTGGTTGAGGCGGGGGCGGGGGTGATCGCCTGTAACGGATGTGTAGGAGTCTTTGAGTGCCATCAGTTTTGTCTCTCCTTCTCGGGACCAACAGCAACCCAGCAACTCGGAAGGGTCAGACCCACAAACAATTTGGGCTCCACTCCCACTGATAATTCCGCCCATGCTCTGATCCTCCTCCAGCTCTAGCTTCACCTTCCAAGCCAGGGCTCCACACACCAGTCTGTGGCCTCGGCCCAAGTTGTGACCTCCCCCATTTTTCTCTAAACCACATGCCCCAGCTCTAGATCTAGCTAAAGTCTGCGAAGGTTCTAGTCCTGCCCTTCCCGCCTCAAGCCCCTCCCATTGTGCTCACCTGCGCCACCACCAGACCACGCCCAACGCCCCGAGTCCCAGCACTAGTCCAGCGCCCAGCAGTGGGATCAGGAGCTGGGGATACATGGACCCTGGGGAAACGGAGGAGGGGATGGCGGTGGATGCCGAGGTCAGGGGTGCGAGAACAGAGAACTAGCTCTCCAGGTCAAGAACGTCCAGCCAAGGCCTCTCTCCCTCCCCAGGGTCTGTGTTCGAGTTAAGCCCCCGTGCGCAAAGACCTGGACCTACCGTGGGCAGGCCCCGGAGCCCTGCAGTCAGCCCCGTCCCCTAGCACATGCAGCACAGTACGGCTCTCCTCCTCGCGGCGGCCCCTGCAGAAAAAGGTGCCTGAGTCCCCCGCGCTCAGGAGCAGCTCCAGCCGCCGGATACTAGGGTCCAGGGCACGTAGGCGACCAGCAAAGGGCTGGACGGGAGACACAGTGGGGGTCCCGCTGGATGAGGCCCACAGGATTGGGCGGCGTCCTTTGGACAGGCCCCTGCAGGCCGGGAAGCTAGGCGCCCAGGCCCAGCGGATGGGATGCGAGACCCCTACGCAGGAGAAATTCACCCGGTCTCCAGGGCGGCCGTCCAGTGAAGCTGGGTTTGGAGGGAGCAGTGGTTAGGGCAAGTCCACAGTTAGAGACGAATCCCACTCCCGTCTCCTCTCTCTCCCCTCTCCTCTGCTCTCCTGCGCTCCTCATCTTTCCACACACACCACCCTCCCCTCCCCCACCCCCACGCTGCCCCCTGCCTCGGTCTTTCCTGGCACCTATCCCAACTTTCCTGGGGGCATGGCTTACCCCCGGGGTCTCCCTGGGCCCTCGCCAACAGCACCGGCAGCAGTTGCAGAACCAGGGCCATGACTGGGATGTGGTGGGGAGAGGAGGGAGTGGATCAGCAGAGGAGACCGGAGGGAAACCAAGGGGTTGGGGGTGGGGGTGGGGGGGTCGCGGGTCTGGGCGCTCCGATAAAAGGAGGGCGGGGCTACCAGCTGCCGGGATCCCTCTGGGAGCCCTTCACAGCTCTCAAACAATACTCGGTTAAAAGTGGTGCTCGGGCTGGTGACAGAACACTTTCGCAAAACTTTAACTCTTACAGCTAGCAGGGGCCCAGAGCGTCCGGGCTGGCTGGCTGAGTTCAAATTCTGACTTCACGTGCGGGCAAGTCGCTTAACTTCTCTGGGCCTGTTCGCTCATCTGTAAAACAGGGATAAAAGCACCTACCTCATAGAGGATTGAGAAAGAAAAAGAGTAATACATGTAAAACACCTAGCACAATGGCTGACACATAGGAGCACTAAGTGCTCACCATTATTATTATTATTATTATTATTATTATTATTATTATTTCTATTCTTATTTTTGCTTCTACTTCACCTCTGTGCCCACGCTGTCCCTCCCAGCCAGTGGTGCCCCACCCAGACTGGCAGGTTTTGATTTGAGAGACACTTTGGAGCAGGTGCACATGCCCCACACCCTGGACTTCATTGGCCCTCACTGAACTAGAACAACCCAGGCCAGACCAAGCCCTAGTTTAGCCAGGGCAAGTTCTGAGAACCTTCTTTTTTTAAATTTTTTTTTTTTCAACGTTTATTTATTTTTGGGACAGAGAGAGACAGAGCATGAACGGGGGAGGGGCAGAGAGAGAGGGAGACACAGAATCGGAAACAGGCTCCAGGCTCCGAGCCATCAGCCCAGAGCCCGACGCGGGGCTCGAACCCACGGACCGTGAGATCGTGACCTGGCTGAAGTCGGACGCTTAACCAACTGCACCACCCAGGCACCCCAAGTTCTGAGAACTTTCTAAGGGCCTGAGGCAGCACCTCCCTAGCAGGCAGCCCCAGCCTATGCCTCTGTTCTTGTGACATCATGGAAGCCCCTGGTGACATTGCAAACCCTTCATCCTTTGTCCTGTGGCTAAGCAGGGATTGGGAAGATCAAGTCAGGGCTGAATCAAGATTAAGTTGGCCTCTTCCATCCTTAATTTCTTTTTTCTTTTTTCTTTTAGAGAGAGAGCACACAAGCAGGGGAGAGGGGTAGAGGGAGAAAGAATTTTAGGCAGGCTCTATGCTCAGCAGTGGAGCCCAATGCGGGGCTCAGTCCCACAGACCCTGAGATCATGACCTGAAATCAAGAGTCAGATGCTCACCTGACTGAGCCACCCAGGAGCCTCTCCATCCTCAGTTTCTGCTCACCTGCCCCTACCAGTTCCCCCCAGGGACCCAAATTTGGCAGTTAATGTAGGCCACATCCCATTGTCCATTTCCCAGGAAGCAGCAGGCACCGCCACCACAGCCACTGTACTATCACAGGGGCCTTTGGTGATGCCTCTTCAGAGGACTGGGCAGGCAGGGCTGTCAGCTGGGAACCAGGAGGGGTGTCTTGACCTGAAATCAAGAACCAAAATGGAGTTGGCCACTAGTTCACCTATCCTCCGCTACCTCTCTCTTCCATCCCCACTCCTTCACCCAGTTCTGCTTAGTACCTCCCCATCCCTGGTCAGCTGTGTGTAAATAGAGAAGGAGGGGCCACCAGAGGCAGGGAAGGGAGGGGACCATTGGGATTATAAATTCCAAAAAGGCCACTCAACTCCCAGAGCCGGATCCCTGAAAATCTACTGTCAGCTGCTGTACTTGCTACCATTCTCAGGATCCTCATCATGAAAGGTCTTCTGCTGCTCACCCTGTCTGCTCTGCTCTGCTGGGTCTCAGGTGAGCATCTAGGGGCCCCAAGGACTTCTACAGCTTGCCCCACCCACCGCCTTCCATTGCCCACTGCTCAGGATCCCAAGTGCCCCAACTGGTGGCTCAGTTCTCCTGTGCCTCCAGAACCAGGCTTCCCCGTCACAGGGTCTTTGCTCCATTTCTCAAGGATTCCTGGCTCCTTCACACTTCTCCCCACCTCCAAGACCTGCCAGGGCTCCAGGTCCCCTCTCCCCTACTCCACTACCAAACTCTCTGGGACCCAGCTTACTGCTTTCTCCTCTTACCATCTGCACTCAGCAGAGTCCTCCCAGAAACCTAGGCATCCAGTCTGGGACTTCTTGTGCATCCCACCCTCCCCATCTACTCCATCAGATTTTGTTCTCAGTCATTCTGAGAGGCAGTGGCCTTTTCTAGTGCACCCTTGGGCTTCCCTGGGGAGCATACCCCCAGGGATACAAGCCTTCTGGAGGGTCCCAGGGATCTCTTAGAATCTCCTGGGAAACTGGGGAGATATCCCCGCCTCCTAGGGAGGGAATGCCAAGGCTGCTCACGCCCAGGGTGAAATGGATTTGTTGCACAGAGGTGCAGTCACCGGACCCCTCTACTCTTGGACTGAACCCCTCCTTCGCCACACTTGGCTCACCCAAACCTGCAATTAGCTGAGGTGGGAACTTGGAGGGTGACACTTTCTGCTTCCATTCTCTCCCTTTTGGTAAGGTGCTCAGGTGGAATCTGATGATCTGGTTCCCAGATATTTTTCTTTTCTTCCTCAAAGCCGCCAGGATGACAGGATTCCACACTTACGGCGGTCCCAGGTGGTGAGAGTAAATTGCTAAAGCTGACCACGGGGGCACCTGGGTGGCTCAGTCAGTTAAGCGTCCAACTCTTGGTTTGGCTCAGGTCATGATCTCACCGTGAGTTCGAGCCCCACATTTGGCTCTACGCTGACAGCGCAGCCTCTCTCAAAAATAAATGAGCTTAAAAAAAATAAAAATAAAAATAAAAGCTGGCCTTAGGTGGCTTTCTTGCCAGCCTCAAGTTACAAGCCATTTATGCAAGTGCTGCAAACATCATTCTTATTTGTAATATTTCTTCCAATTTCAAGTCTCCATCTGTGACGTCTTCTGAATTCCTTTATCTTTTCCCCCACCTCCTCCATTCCTTGCCCACGGTATTCTCACATTCCATCTATCCCCAGCCCTGTGTTTTTGTTGGTAGCTCTACCCCTCTTGACTCATCCCCCATGGGGTGGGGTGAAGGACAGTGTTTAGTGTGTGGGCATTCACAGAGCAGTGCTCCACCCTCCCCTACCTCCACTGTTGCTGCTTTACTCACCTCCTCTGTCACTACCAAACCAAACAGGTTAGAACACCTACTTGATTGGCTCTTCTCCACCCTACCCCACAGCTCTGCTGGTCCCCAGGTGAGTCAGACACCCCATCACCTCAGCCTGACTTGTGTCTTCCCAGCTGACATTCGCTGTCACTCCTGCTACAAGGTCCCTGTGCTGGGCTGTGTGGACCGGCAGTCCTGCCGCCTAGAACCAGGACAACAGTGCCTGACAACAAATGTGTACCTCGGTAACATCCCCCTCTTTAGTGGGGAGAGGGGACCGGTGGGAGACTCTATTGGTGAGGGCTGAGGCCCAACTGTAGCTCAGACTGAGGTGGAACAGACAATCACAGGAATGATGATATTTGGCCGAGGGTTCTTAGGTACGAGGTACCATTCTCTGACTTTACATGGATTGTTTGAGTTCATGTTCAAGAATCCTATGATGTGGGTGCTCTCATTACACTGAGGAGACAGCCTCAGAAAGAGACACTGACAAGTCCAAGGCCTCACAGCCAACAAGTGATAGGACCAAGACTGGGGTGAGGGGGTGGGGGAAGGAAGTGAAGGAGGACAGTCAGACTTACTGAGAAGAGATAAAGAGGGGAGGGCCAGGGGCAGAGTAGGGAAGGAAGCCTGGGTGGGTGCATGGGGAGGGGAGGTGGGCACGGGCATGCCAGGTGCCCATCCTAGCTGACCCCACTGTCCACTCCTACCCTCAGGTAAGATGTGGGTTTTCTCCAACCTTCGATGTGGCACACCCGAAGAGCCTTGTCGGGAGACCTTCAACCAAACCAACCACAAGCTGGGTCTGACCTATAACACTACCTGCTGCAGCAAGGACAACTGTAACAGCCCAGCCCCTCGGCCCACCCCGGCCCTGGCCCTTGTCCTCCTGACCTCTTTGGCTGGCCTTGGCCTCTGGCTGCTGCACTGAGACTCACTCCCTAGCTGCCCCTCCTCCCACTTGCCTTAACTTGAGCTGAGCCCTGTGTCTCTGTGTCCCCCGGCTCCCTACAATGGCCTCTCCTTAGCTCCCTTTGCTCAGAAAAACATTTCTCCAGACTCTTCACATTTCTTTAATTAGACAATGGTCTCTCTACCCATCCTGCCACTTTACATCCTCCACTCTGCTTCTCCTGAGTCCCTGCCCATATCCCTCTAGACCATTCCAAATCTTCCCCAATAGAGTTCCTCACTCTATTTTTCCTCCTGCACTCTACCGTGCCCTACTCTGGGAGCGATGGGGACCTGGGCCTGAAATTGTCTTCTGTCCTGTCCCCAGCGAAGGCTCCTAGGAAGGACCTGATGACCTCACTGTCTGGGGTTGATTCCCCAAACCCTGGCCCCCATACATACCCCATTCCCATGATCACCTCTTTCCATTTTGTGTAATAAATGTCTATGTCTGATAAATTGTGTGTTTATTGTCAACAGACCTCTTGTCAGAGGCCCCCTCTCGGGAAATGATGTTTTCAGCTCCCTCCCTCCCCCAAGAATCCTTCAGGGGTTTCCCTGAGAGGCTGGGCTGGGGCAAATAGAGAAATGGGTTTTTCAGGCCTCTATCCTTCCTTCCTGTGCTTGAGGTTGGCACACAGGTCTCAGTGTTTGGAGCGACAATTCTTATCCCAAATTTAGGCCACACCTCTGGTGTACTGCCAAGAAGGAGGTGCAGCCTGGCTTCAGGGCTCACCAAAAAGGGTAGGAGAGTTGCATGGGGATGGAATCTAGGACCCTCTTAACAGGCCTCAGTCCCTCAGGTTAGAGTCAAGGGCCTCACTTGGCCAGGCTACTAAGCAGGGCACCAAGCAACCCTCCTAGCATGGTGCTTACGTTTCCTTTCTCAATCCTATAGAGTCACGTTGGGAAGCAAGTGGCAAATGGGAGAAAGGGGAACAAACCCAAACAGTTTCTTTGATTTCTGATGACCCCCACTTAGCCCAGAGACCAGTCCCCTCATGCCCTCATGGTCCTCACTGCCGGGGAAGACTCTCCCTAGCAATAGGACCAGAAGTCACTTAGAGCAGATTCTCCATTGTCCCTTGGGGTTTCATTGGTTAAGGAGTACACCATTATAACTAAGTCCACTGATGCTTGATAACCCCTAAACTAGAGCTTGGACGCCCCCATAATACTCCTGCAATTCTCCCATCAAAAAAGATAGAATTTTCCAGTCAGGTCTAGGGTGGTGGATAGATTTTAATGGCTCACAGAGGGCTGTTTGTCTTCTCACCTCGAATCTCCTTTGTTCCCTCGCTCCCTTGTGCCCTTCCCTTCCCTTGAGCCTACTACCCTCTTTACAGTGCTGGCAAGAGCCAGGCCAGTGTGGTGGCTGTTGCAGCCAGGAGGCATGGCAGGGCCACGGTGTTCGCGATGGCGCTGTTGCACAGGTCTCCGACGCAGCAGTCTCTGTGGGTTGTGTAAGTCACATCTCCCACCAACTCTGTTTCCACTTGATTGCAATGATGGGCCGCCACGCAGGCTGGATAGTGATGAATCAAGGTCACTGAGGCTGAGGAGAGAACGAGACTGGGGTGTCGGACTCTTCGCATGAGGACTTGCCTTCTAGGGCAGAGTGGATGTGACTTCAAGGAGCCCAAAGGGATTCTCTGCCCCCCTCAAAAAAACAGCTCCATGAAACCAAATGACCAAAATCCACACACTGACACTGTGAACCCTCTAATTCAATGCACTGAAACGGACCAACATCACTTCTGTGCTGTTCTTGCCCAAAACTCGTGACTGCAATGTAGAAATCATGAGAAAATATTAGATAAATCTAAATTGAGAGTCTATAAAATAACTTATCAGGACTCTTCAAAAGTGTCAAGGTCATGGAAGACAAAGACTCAGAACTGTCACAGATCAGAGGAGACTAAGAAGACACAAGAGCTAAAATGCAATGTGGGATCCTGGTCTGGGTCCTGGACTGTCAGTTCAGATGCAGAAATGAACACTACAGGTCCTATCAGCCCCAGGCACAGCCGGGCTGGCCAAAGGAACACGTAGCCTAGGCTCAAGGGATAGGAATGCTTGCGTCTCACTCGAAGGAACCTGTAAGACAAGTAATTAAAATCAGCACTATCCTAAAGATATGATCATTAGATGTACCTAATGAAATCTCTAACATAAAGAATAAAGATATTTTTGAGATTCCAAGTCTCTTGAGATGGAAAAGATGTCCGAGGACCAGACGAAGTGGCACTAGAACACCTGCTAGCATGACCTCATGGACTTCCAGTCAACAGTGTCCACTTTCTCAGAAGAACCCTATCCCCACTTTTGTCCTCAAAAACCCTCATGGGCAAGCAGTTGGGGAGGGGGTGGGACTTTGGAGCATCAGCTCCCCATTATCTTGGATGGCACCACACCAATAAATGGCCTATCTTTCTTCTTTGCCAAAGCTCGGTGCCTGTTTTTATTGGCTTGTTGTGCAGCAAGTGGATGAACTCTCGTTCGGTTTGGCTCTAGTACAGGACCCCAAAAAAAGACATGTGTGGAACAACTGGCTAAACTGAATAAGGTCTGGAGATGAGTTGGTAGTACCAGTGTTATTGTTATTTCCTGATTTTGATAATAGTACTGTGGTTATATAAAATGTTAACATTAGAGGAAGGGAGGTGAAGGATATACAGGAACTCTCTGTACTATTTTTACTAAATAGTAAACTCTCTATACTATTTCTACTAAATAATTTTCAAAAATTATTTCAGGGGCGCCTGGGTGGCGCAGTCGGTTAAGCGTCCGACTTCAGCCAGGTCACGATCTCGCGGTCCGTGAGTTCGAGCCCCGCATCAGGCTCTGGGCTGATGGCTCAGAGCCTGGAGCCTGTTTCCGATTCTGTGTCTCCCTCTCTCTCTGCCCCTCCCCCGTTCATGCTCTGTCTCTCTCTGTCCCAAAAATAAACGTTGAAAAAAAATTATTTCAAAATTACACACACACACACACACACACACACACACACACACACACCCCTGGTCCTTATCTAATGTCTGCAAGTTTGGTTTACTATTTTGGTCCCTGACCTCAAGGGACAGAACTTTTTCAACCATTTGTGAGTGAATGGGCCTATGAGACTCTGGAGAGTTAAGAGGGGGAAGTAGGAACATAGGGACAGTGGGCTGCTGAGGGGCTGTGCCAGAGCCAGAGGGCTCTAAGACTGCTCTACTCTGCCATGGCACCATCTGCCCAGAGCCAGACTGAGCCTAGAAGATTCTGGAAACCAGGAGGATCGAAGTAGGAGCTGGAGGCAGGGAAGGGCTGGGGGAAGAGGGAGAAACTGAGGACTCACGGTTTCCAGATAGCTTGTTCGGTCCTAGGCCTGGCTGGGGTTTGCGCTCCAGGAAGCCACAGCGTTCTCCCTCCCTGCAGGTGGCCACGGTTTCTTTGCAGGAGCTGCTGGGGCCTCCTTTGCAGTCATAGCACCTCATTTGGTTTCCTGGCAGGAAAGAAGAGGTGCTTGACCCGGGCTGACTGAGGAGCCAGTGTGGGTAGAGGGGGATGGGCTGCTCCTTACCCAGGGCAGTCCCCAGCAGGGTGCCAAGCAGGACCCCGACAACTGGGGAGTTCATTGTGTCTGCCTGTGTCAGGATCACCTCTCTCTCCCACCCCCCCTCCCTGGCCCTGCTCTGCCAGCCTTATATCCCCCTTGCCTTGGGCTTTATAGGGCAATAAAAAGGGAGGAAAGAATCTCCCCCAGCAGGCACTGGGGCCCCATTGGGGACAGGGAGGGGCCCCCATGGCCGGAAGAGCCCTCAGCATCCTCTGGAGTCCCCAGATTCTTCCTTCCTCAGCAGCTGTTCTAAAGCTGTGGCCCCCGAATTCCTGGCCTTAAGACCCTTTTGGAAGGTCCTCAGTGTTCTTCCTTTTCCAACTTCATACCTACGTGAGGTCAGATTTTCTTTGTATACTTCGACCAAAACAACATATCCCAATAGACTTTGTGCAGAAGAAGATGTGAAAACCTGGCCATCTTCTCTTAAGCCTGACTTTTATGTAATTCCCCAAAGTGTGGAGGGATACTACTTTTCTATGTTGTTGGGAAAGAAGTTACTTTTCACAAAACTATGTTTTGTTAACATGTAATAGGTTTATTATTTTTATTTTTAAATAAACCTATTTAAACTGCTCTGTTTTGATTTCTAATATAGTAAATACCAATATTAACTCCCACAAAGAAAAACTCTGCTCTGTCTTCAGTAATTTTTAAGAGGTGAAGAGGTCCTGAGATTAAAAAAAAAAATGTTTTGGAGATCTGTCTCCTCTGCCTTCCCTCCTCTATCTTACTCCTGGCACATCCCTGTTCTGATGCCTCAGATCAGGCTCTCTTCCCCAATGTCTTAAACCCAGTTTTCCAGAATCTACCACCACCTTCTAAATCTTATCCCCACATTCCTTCCAAGTCTTTCTGAGCCACACACCCCCCCAGTAGAAACACATCTGTCCCTCTGGCCCCACCCATGATTAATTCCTCCCTCGTGGTAGTAAAGCTGGGAGGGATAATTATAGGGTACAAATGTTGAGGCTTGGGGGGATCAAAGGGATCTGAAGCTGGGTGGGGTCCCACTTAGACAGCTGAGCTTTGTGTGGAGGGGCAGGTGGAAGAGGGTAGTGTTCATTTCACATTCAAACACCACACTGGAGCCATTCTGGGTCAGGGCTTCCAGGAGGGTGACCTTGAGAGACTCAAATGCTTGGAGAGGGGAAAAATGGAGCAAACAAAGACAGGGAGCTGAGTTGACAGAGCCGAGAACAGCTTGAGAGGAGGGGAGGGAGGGAGGAGTGAGGGGGAAGGTGACAGACATAACTCTGGAGCGGCAGACGCAGCCAAGAGTAACAAACACAAAACGGAGAAGACCCTGAAGACTGGAGCAGACTAAAGTAGGGGGCAGAGAGGATGTGAGAGATGTGGGATGCAAGAGCAGAGGCCCAGGACCCTCCCACGTCAGGCTGGTGGATCTGGTCCTGGTTCCACCCCCCCCCCCCCCCCCCCAGATTCACTCCCTAGGTGTGTTTGTTTACTGGTCCCTCCCTGTCTCACTCAGATGCTCCAACTCTCGGGACCTCAGGGTGCAGATCACATTCTCCCAGACTCCTGAGCCCTGGGTCCAGCCATGCGCTCCTCCAGCATCTGTCTGTGCCTCCTGTTCCTCTGTGGGGCACTGGGTAAGGGTGGGCCGGTGGGGAGAAGCGGGGAAGACTGGAGAAGAGAGTTGTAAGGGCTTTAGAAGGAAGAGCTACCGGGAATGGCCTCAGGCCAGGCGAAGGTGGAACAAGAAGTTTCTTTCCGAAGACATTTGAGAATAACTATCTCTTCCTTGCAGCATCTCTTGGACATGCCTCTGACCTCTGTCTCCCCTGTCCTTTATCTCATCTTTTGCTTCTTTACTGGGTCCCTTGGTTAGTGTCAGTGTCTGTTCTTAATTCGCTCTTGTCTGTGGCACCATTCACTTAACCTCTTTACCGCCACCCTGCCTTCCCCGGTCTGGCATTTTGTGTCACTCTCTGCATTCATCTCTGACTCTCGTGGCTTCTGTCATGTCTGTGCACTTCTCGCAACCTCTGTATCCCTCTGGCTTCTGTGTCTTTCTCTTTTCCTGTGTTGTCCCCCCACCCTCCTCTGTGTCTTTTTTTCTACTTCTGCCTGCCCTCCTCCCTCCCTTTCACCACTTCCCTCTCCCCACTTTGTGTGTCACATCTCTCTGTGAATCCCTGTCGCAGGTCTGGGCTCGAGCCTCTCACTGGCCTGTTTGCCTCTCTTGATCTCTGCTGACCCCCCAGGTCTCACCACGTCCCCCACCCGGGGACAGCTCCACTGTTACACCTGCAGCTTCAGCAAACCCTGCTATCCTGTTCTCACCGAGTGTCAGGATGACGAAGTTTGTGGCATCAGTATCGGCACCTCAGGTAGGACTCTGGTCCCATGGCTCTACTCCAGGCCCATCTCCATCCATCCATCCTGCTTTTCCTGCTGCCCCACACACAGTCTTTGCCTCCTTCCTGCCCGGGCCTCAGCATTCCCTCTTTGTCCCACAGAGCAGAGTGAGATCATCGAGCGGAAAGGCTGCCTCCCAAGGGCCCAGTGCCCTCTGCAGGGCCATGCCACCTACTGGTCACGCTCCTATGCTCTGCGGCACCACTGCTGTGAGCAGAACCTGTGCAACACAGCCACCATGCTGCAGCAGCTCCCCAGCCCCCTCCTCATCACCCTGCTCCTCCTCGTGGCCAGCTTCATGTGGGGAGCCCACCTACTCCACTAGCCTCAAACCAGGACTCCTCCACCATCACCACCACCCTGGAAACACCTCATCTGAGATATGCCCAAGAACCTGATTCTGAAGAGACCTCAGGTCTCTGGCCCAATACCTTCCCAGACCCTTCCCAAGGCCTGATTCCTACAGGCACTGCTCTAACCCCTATAGGTACCTGCCCAGAGCCCAGCCTCGTAAAGAACACCTGTTCTATGCCTTTTGTCTTTTCTAGTTGCCCGATGTTGATGCTCTATCTTAGCTCCAGGTCTTGGGCAAGGCAGGTGTTTTGATGGAGCTGTGGGTCCCAGGCACGGGGATTGAAGGGGCACCAGGTATGGTGAGGAGGACAGTCTTGCTAGGAAAGATTAATTTGGCAGGTTAGGAACTCAGGAAGGAGGTTCTTGGGGAACTATGAAGAGTAAATTTAATAAAAGTGCTATTTGTGAGTCTAGGACACTGCTCTGTGTGGTGTGTATGTGCGTGTGCTCTCTAAAAGCAAACTATAGCTGCTTGGTGGGTTTGGTTGGGGTGCTGGGACTAGAACCCTAACTTTCACCTCACTCCCCATCTGTGTCATTCCCGTCCTCCTCCTTGCTAACAGGTCAGCTTAAGCTGCTGTAGCATGAAGGCTTTTGGTGACACTCCTGTGAAAGCTTTTCTCCACTGAGGTCCAAGCTTGAGCATACAAAAGGATGTGGCTGGGAGTCCAGCTCCTTTCTGCCTGAGACCGGGGAGTGGACCAGTTGGGAGCACCAATGCCCTTCCCTGCTTGGCCAGCCCAGACTTGTCCAGGGTTCACTGACAGCCCAGCACACAGGGCCCAATTACACACCCCACCAGTGAATCCACCCGCCCACCCTTGCGGACACTCCCTCTCCCCAGGGAGATACCATGGGACTCTTGGAGCTCCCAGGATGTCAGGATGTTGATAAGCCTCTGCCACTCCGGATGCCACAATGAAGTGCTAGGATAAGGAGGGTGGCTCAGGGTGGGGGCTGAGCACAGCCACCCCTCATCCTGACTCAGTGCCCTCCCCTTCCATGCAAGGAAGTCTGGGGTCTGATTAAAGGTGCCTGTTCTCCTTCACCTTCTTCTCTGGGAAAATGAGACTGAGCAGGGATGAAGGATTGGAGGTGGGGGGTGGTCTGGCTTAATTTAGAGGCCACCTGAGTCTTCTTCCCATTCTCTCTGTCATTCCATCCTCCTACTTGATGCTTCCATTTGTTTCTCTCTGTCCATCTCTTCCTCTTACTTGAGTCCTTGCCTTCTCTCTTCTTCACTTTCCTCCATTTATCCTTTGGTTTCCCCAAGACTGATACTCCACCATTGCTCAAGTCTCTGGATTCTTCTGTCTCCTCTCTGTCCATCCCCACCCCTCCACACCCCCTGCCCCCTACCCCAGGCTCCCCTCAATCCCATGGGACTGGGCACTTAGGGTCACCCCTTCACTGGCTATTATAAAACAGGAGACCACACTTTCTCATAGGTGATGTCACAAGATAATGCTTCTCCTTTCCTTCAGCAACCCCCCCCCAACACACAAGCATGCGTACACACACACACACACACACACACACACACAGCTTGACTGCTGGAGACCAGCTGGACTGTAAAGTAGCACTCTCAGCCCCTCCCCCCTTGCCAGGGTTTTCAGGCGAATCTTTCAGGTGCCAGATGGCTGGAGAGACAGCAGGTCACACTTCCCAGCAGATGTCATCGAGATCATCTGATCTTGTGGGCAGGTGGGCTGTGGGTTTTGTGAAGCAGAAAGATAGAATAAGGATACTTCCATACTCCACCTCCTCAGAATTAGGATTTCACACCCATCCCAACCCCAGTCTCCTCTGGGATTTAAGCCTGTACCCCCTAGTGTTTCTCACCTGAGACGGGCCACATGGATGTTCTCATAGACCTGGATTTCAGGTTTGAAATGAGGAATCGAGGCATCTAAGAAGAAGGAACCATATGGGGTGCAGCAGAGAAATTATCAGATAATTCAGAGCTATATTCCTTACTGCCCTCCTCCCCTAGAGAAATAGGGTATAGAGGCAACCCTCTGCCTCACACCCACATGCTCTCTTCTTTCCTCTGGGAGGGAGGGACTCACCTCTGCACTGAGCCCTCTGGACCCTCTGTCTCCAGAGCATGATGCTGAGGGCCAGGATGGTGAACCCCTGACCTGCTGCAAGCAACAGCATCAGGATCCAGGATACATCCCAGCCCGTGGCACGGGCACAGAGGGCAGGGGAGGCATCCATGGAGGCTACAGTAGGGGCAAGACAATAGGGATAAGGAGGGAGGTGGTGAGGGGTCTGTTCCCATACCCCAAAGAAAGGCCTCTCCCCATAGTCTGGTGGGCTCTTCCCACCAGAAGACCTCATATGCATCTTTGCCCCCAGTTTCCACCAACCCACTCTGCCCATTTTCAAGCCTCTCATCCTGAACCTGTGAACCAATAGCAATACACCCCCTCCCATATATGAACAGCTAACTCCAGAGCAGACTGGCGGCCATAACTGGCAGCCATATGAGCAATCTTTCCTCATATCCTTAATAGTAATCCAAAGTTTCAAGAGAAAGTAAAGTGCCTTCCATTCATTCATTCTTTCATTCATTCACTCCATAAGCATTCACTGAGTGCCCACCAAATGCCAGGCGCCACATTAGGTGCTGTAGATGTAGAGAGAAATAAGACCCAGGCACTGCTCATTAACTGGCCTTTGCCTTCCAAACTAATGGCAATTTTCTCCTCCCTCCTGCCTTGTAAATGGGTTATTCTACATCTAATGGCATTCTGTCTGTGTATAATGGATTTTTAATTGTAAAACAATGATACATTTTTTTCTCCTTCTCCTTTCACTCTCAGTAGGCCATTATAACATCAGTGCATATATCTTTTCTTCAAAAGACAACTCCCGGGGTGCCTGGGTGGCTCAGTCGGTTAAGTGTCTGACTTCGGCTCAGGTCGTGATCTCACGGTTCATGGGTTCGAGCCCCGCATCGGGCTCTGTGCTGAACGCTTGCTCAGAGCCTGGAGCCTGTTTCGGATTCTGTGTCTCCTTCTCTCTGCCCCTCCTCCACTCTCACTCTGTCTCTCAAAAATAAATAAATGTAAAAATTTTTTTAAAAATTAAAAAAAAGACAACTCCCCCATCAATAATTCTTATTTACTTCCTCTCTGAAATGGGATAGCCCACAAAAATCCTAGGTTACCCTATTTCTGAATAATGGCATATCCCACTGGAATCCTTCTTGTTCTTCATGGCCAATGGTCTATTCCACCAGAAAGGTGGCTTAATCAACCCCCTTCTCTGTTATAGAGTTGGCCAATGAGAAAAAAGCCTTCTCCCTACAGGTGATGGTCTGCTCCACCAGAAATCACCCCCAACCCAAATCTGGCCAATTACAAAGTCACGTCCTCCTCCCCTGGCCAGCAGGTGCAGAATGTGCCAGAGACAACATCCTCTCCCATATCCTCCTTCAGTTTACCTGCCAGGCTAAAGCTGACCCCTTTGTTATGAGGCATGAGGCAGCTGATGATTCTTGGTCTATGTTCCCTGGACTCAGAGAGCTGTTCCCCAGGACACACCAAGAGCAGGGCAGCCCCATCGCCCCAAAATGACTGTACATGGCCCCTCACAGGACCCCTTCCCTCTAGCCAGGTCACAGAGTCTAGGCGTCTGGCAGGGGCCACAGAGCATAAAAGGACGGAGCAGGGGGATCCATCCGCAGCCCTCGCGGATAGCTGGGATCCTGTGGGGAGAGAGGGACCGCTTAGTTTTTTGCTGGGCTTCCTGGCCCCCGGGGGCCCCCCCCCCCCCGGGGGGGGGTGCACTCACCTCTGGGCACGGAGACATCATACACCCTCCAGTTCTGGTACTTATGGTGCTGACCCAGAACAGCACACCAGTACCGACCGGCGTCTCCCTCTTTGGACTTTTCCAGCCACAAAGAGTAGTTCCCCAGCAGTTTGAGCCTGGATGCCCTTACAGACTTCCCAGGCTCTGGGGAAGGCCCCCTCCCAGGCCTGGCCACTTGGACTTGGGCCACCAGGGCAGTGGAGGAGCCTGCTGCAGGGCTGCGGAACCAGGACAGGAGTTCGTCTCCACTCAGAGTGGATGGTGCGGGACATGGCAGCTCCATTGCCTCCCCCAAGGCTACATAGATGGTCTGGATATTGTCTGTGGAGAGGGGGTTTTATGGTGCTAGAAACCTCCATCAGATCAACAGCTCCCACTTGACCTCTAACTCCTGGCTTCTGCTCCTTCTGGGGTCTCCCAGCATGGGTCTTGCTATGAGCACAATTCTCAAATGACAGCTATAAAAAAAGTTGAGGAGGGGAGAAGAGGGTAGGGCTTTCTTCCTCTCTCCTCCAGTGGGTGAGAGAATCTGAAGGCAAGAGAGAAAATGCTGGAATAGTTGGCACATACCCTTCTCTCTTCCTCTCATTTTTCCTTTTCTAGAAGCACTTATGTGTCTATTCTTATTTTCTAAAGGAAACTGTCCATGATCTGGACCCTCAATTTCTCTGGATCTTCCCCAGAATTAGAGGTAGGGGGAAGTCAGTTGGGGCAAATCTATCTTCTTGAGTCACATGCCATCTGCAGGCCCCTAAGGAGAAACAGCAATAGTTCCTCACGACCTTGCAAATAGCTGAAGAATCCCCCACCTCCCGCTCCTTACCTGCAGCAGCCTGCGGGGGGCCACATAGGAACAGAAGGAGGAATAAGACCGCCATGGGGAGAGCCTGCCAAGTTCTCTTGCCCAGGACCTGGTGCCCCACGGAGGAAACAGAACCCAGATAAAGACTCACACTCCCCGGTCTGGAGTGACACGGTCCTCTTGAGGGGATGGGAATGCTGGGGAGATAAAGCCCAGCTTCCTGTCTACTGGGGAAAAAGTGACCACCACCTTCCAGTCCCAAGGGGGAAAAGACCCAGTCCAGTCTGTTCTGAAGATGATCTCTTCACACTTCTGACTCTACATCAGCTGAAGGACACAGATTAAAGACTCTTCATGCTAAAAAGCCTGCACAGAAGGGAGCACAGCTGTTCACCTCCATTCAGTCTGGAAGTACATTCTGTGCTCTCTCCTTCACCCTAAGAGATGCCAACCATAAATGCAGAAGCTGAATCTTCACGTTGGTCTCCACAGAACTCAGTACAAGACTGCACA